TTTTTTTTAAACCACTTGTGTCCAAAAAAGCATATTTTTGACCCAAAATCAAAAACGCATTCTGGATATTTAAAATAAAGACAAGTTTTACAAAGTTTGTATAATAGGCTTTCAGAAAATATATAACATGCTGGATATATAATACCATCTTCATTGTCTAATTACTCAATTAAAAAGCAAGCCAAATAAACTGCATCTCTACCTTAATTCCTTCCAAAGATAAACACTATGCAAATATCCACGAAACGGCAGTTGTAGTCTTTTCTGCTAGTGTTTTAAAACACTAATTTGAGCAACATTATTTCGCAATTTCGATCTTTTGTAAACCTGGGGTGATGTATCAAGGTCTAAAGTAACCGTTTTATCAATTTTTGAAAAATCAAGAAAAAAGTGAAAATTTCCCTTCTCGCTACCTTAAAATGTGTTAATAATCAAACATGCAATTTTTACACTGGTTGCTATGGTGACATTATTCTTTTGTATCTCAAAATTAGCTTAATGAATTGGTATGATAGTTGTGTATAATTATTGATACAAATCATAAATTTGAAAAAAATCGCACGTAGTTTTCAGTATAATCATAGTTTTTCATTATATACAACAGAAAGTTCTCTCCAATTATGCATTGCATGTACATGTTGCATGCGCAGTGGTGAACAATTTGGATTTGGTGTGAACTCCCTTAATATAAAGTGATACATGAATCTGAACAATCTGTAAATTTGTCATAATTGGCGATCCGCTCCGCTAGGATTGCCCTTATAATCACTTTTGTTGTTTTGTGTGTGTGTCTGTGTGTGTACATTTCCAGTGTTGTCACGTATGATTTCTTCTGTGATTTTTTTGGCTTGGCCGATTTCGTTCAAATTTGGCAGGTAGGTCACACCTTCACCCTAGTTATTAGGAAAAATCTGGAAAAAAAATTTGGTCCATCGTTGCCATAGCAACAGCCAAAAAACTGATTTTTTGATAGCTTCGCGCCAAATGTATCTCCTCCTACAAATTTTGGATAAAACACTTCAGACATAGCTCATTCTACTCAGCTTGAGTGTGGGCACAAAGTTGCTATTTGAATTTTTGATAT